TGCTTTAATCGGATACTTTCTCGAATCTTTGTTTGTTGCAACAAAAAAATTTTACAATTAATTATTCAAACTTTAAATACGAAGCGCCTTTTAGTTCCGAGTGTTAAGATGTTGAGCTAACATTCATTTTAAATTAAATTAATTATTCAGAAATAAATTGAGAGCCGATAAATTATCGGATTCACACAATCATTCTGATAATCCCCCCAAATTTTCCCAAATCTTAAAAATTGTAATAAACTCACTGCGAAAAATTTTTTTATAATTAAATTTCGAACAGAAATTAAATAGTTTCAGAAAATGACATGACAAAAAGTAACTCGGTAAAATTCGTAAACTTATTAAAATTCTCCGTTCCCCAAAAATAGTACTCTATTATACGGGGCGTAATTTCTTTCTTTTCTTTTTCTCTCTGGACATTAATGGATTAACTGCAATTTATCTCTCTCTCTCTCTCTCTCTCTCTCTCTCTCTCTCTCTCTCTCCCTCATCTCATATAAAAATTTATATAGTTGAAGAAAAGTACCATTTATATCAATGCTATTAACTCGCAGAATAAGAAAAATTCTTGTAAAGTAAAAGCGCTGTCTTCTTCCTTTTTTATAGAGTACCAAGCATTTTAATTTGTAAGAATTGCATTATAATGTAAGGTATAATAATGAAAACAATGGTGTATTAACAGCATTAACTGACAACAGTTTAATTAAGAATTGTCTTGTTATAACGACATTAATGAAATAAATATTTCATACTGTTGTTTTAATAAAATGTTATTTATTTCGTTAAGAACAGTGTATAAACAAGATTATTTTCAGTTACACTGCTGTTGGCTAATCCTGTCAACACACCACGCTTTTGTTTTAATAAAATGTTATTTATTTTATTAATACTGTTATTTAATAAATATGAACAAGATTATTTTCAATTATATTGCAGTTGCTAATACTGTTAATACAACATCTTTTTTCGTGTACAAAATGACTGTTTTTTTCTTCCTTTATAATAACGTTGAAGTCTCGAGTATTTTCGATCTTTCTCTTAGTTAAACGTGCAATGTAGAATTGTAATTACGTGTTGTATAATACATGACTTCATCGCCATACTGCAGGTCCAGCGCGGATCTGTCAGCAGCTGCGCAGGAATTAGCTCGTTTGGGGATGACCGACGGATACGAAATAGATTGTAATGTCGTCGATTGTAACAACACCACATTTATTTAGGCGGTGGTCGAATTATGCAAATTACTCGACGCCAGCTTCGAATCGTTCAAATTCTCGACATGGCCCTCAATGGTTTATCATCCGATAAACGTGTTCCCGCATTCGTTCGTGATTTATTTTTTTCAAATATTACCGAATGTTAACCCGATCCGCGAACTCAATCCTTCTCCGCAACGATCGATACACGTTGGTTTTTCGATTATACTTGTTTACGTGCTCGCAAATTTTTGTCTCGTTCGCACCGTTAATGTAGTGGAACGGAAAACATTGGGTGAAACGGAGCAAAAATACACTCACATACATGCTTTTGTTCTCGCTTATTTAAGCAAATGCTTGTAAAAACGAAAGTTACATAAAATGCTTTAAAATATGGATAAAATAAACAGATTATATAACAATTTTATATTTGAAAATGAAACACTAGTTCTTGTGTTGATAATATCTGCGTGATAAAAATAAAAAAACTACTTGCATTCATAAATTGTAGAATGTACTTTTACGGCACTTCCTACTTTTTGCCAAAGAAAACATTTGTTTCATCTTTATTGTACAGAGAGAAAAATCTTTGATATTTTTTATTGTAATTATATCTCATCATAATTATGGTTATTACTGCTATAATAATAATATTATAATACAATAATAACTGTGTATAGTTTTTCTATATGCATATATTTAATTTGTTATCAAAATCGTTACAACTCAGAAAGAATATTTTTTAAGGATTGATTATACGAAAATATATAACAAAAGTGATGTTTGATATATTTCTAAGAGTATATTCTTTTTACTGATATTATTTGATCAGTTAATAATTTTCTGTTAAGTTAAAAAATAGTTTTTCTCTTTCCTGAAAAACTTTTTTTTTGTCACTTTTAAAATAAAAGAACGACAGTTTTTATTACGAGTAGATATATTAATATTATAGCGGTAATAATTATGATAATATGTAATTATAGTTATAAATATTAAAAATACTGTTCTCAGTTTATGATTCATTTCAATATAATCTTACACTCTTAAAAATAATTTAATGTATTGATTAACAATGTCAATACATTAAATTATTTTTAAAAGCATAAGATTATGATGAAGTAGCAGTTTTAATATTCATTAAACCGACATTGTAAATGAAAGAATTACGCGACGACCATTTTTGAGAGTCATGAATTAATAGGAAGTGTTACGCGCGCGAGAAGTCGTAATTAAGCGTTTGCACGAAGCAGAGTACGACAAGCTGAGAATCAGCCTCGGCAAAAAACTCTCTTAAAAGTTGAGGAGAAAGATGCCGCGCGGTACTTTTTTACGCGGGGAAAATTCTGCATACAAGGGTATTACTCCGGATCGTAGGGTGTATAAAGTTCGTTCGCTCTCGCGCCCATTCTCCTGCTTTTGTGCGAATATTGCCGTGTACTTCCCTCTTATTATGACGCGTCTAGCATGATAAAGGGGTTCCGACGACCGCCTAGAAGGCTGGAAAGCATTTACGCTATGAAACCGCTTTACCAGAATGCGGGAAAGATTTCTCGCGTTCGACGTGAAGTGCCCGACAAACATATAGCGATAGTTGTATTTAATATCAACGTAACTTTTGTCCCTTCAATAAGGAACTATTGTACACTCAAAACGGTCAGCCAGATTTTTTTATTGAACTTGCTCGGTTTACTGAAGAAAGAACTGAGAGAAGTTGAGGGAAAAACTCAATGTCTAGATTAAGAATGAATTAATTTCTTTAATCAGAAGGCTGCCCTTTCCAGCTCCTCGGAGAGCTCAGGAGTGTTGGATCTGCATTTAAACGACTGAGAGAAATTCTTCTTTCTGTAATCAGGCTTTTCTCTATTCTACATGCGCAATTAAATCACATTTAATTAAAAAGGTTGTCGGATTTATATATATTGCCATATTACTGTACAGGACTGCGACATTATCTTATTTCATCTTAAAAAAGCTCATATAAAAATAATTATTAGAAGATAAGATAAACCGTTCAGTTTCTCGTTGCCTTTGAAAATCTAGTCATATTATTATCAAATTTTTTTGATAAATCATGTAGGGTAATTATTACACCGGTCGTTAAATAAAATGATTGTTAAAGAAAAATATTAAAATAATAAGATTTAAAAAATAAGTTGTAAATTAATTGATATTTTAATTTTGATAAAATAGGATTAAAATTTATCTATAAGTGAAATGTTTGAAATCAGTTAATTTTTTTACAAGTTTTCTTTCGCAATTTTTTTACGCCGCATAGAAATCTCATTTTGCTGCAAATATTTGCTAATAAACAAATTGTAATTGTGCAACAAAAAAAATGCTTTCTTCTATTCTTGATGTAAGAGAAAGAGAGAAAGAAGAAGAGATACAAAAGAGGGTGCTGCACGACTGCTTATTTTCACCAAAATTCCACAATATATTCCTATGTCTTGTAGCAGGTCTGTCCAATACTTTGTTCACGAACTAAACGCTTCTACCTCTCCATCATTTCGTAGAGCAAGATTAAGAGAAAGCAAAAAGAATAGACGCTGAAGCTCTGTTCCGTTTCTACACTGTAAAAAGTACAGTGTTAACGTTTAAAACATCTTTACAAAACAAATATTTAATAAAGATATTTCAATTTTAAATATTTTTATAGGATTTTAGGGTTTGAATCCAATATAGTGTTTTGTTCAATAAAAACTTAAAAACCGTTTAAACCTAAAATATCTTTAAGTGTTTAAAAAACGGAGACAAGAATATTCGGGTGAAGTTTCTGAACTCAACTTAAGCCTGTTGTAAGATATAAAATCATAAAATTGTGAAATTCTGATGAATATAAGCATGCAGCATCTCCTTCCCCCCCCCCTCTCTCTCTCTCTCTCTCAAAAGCAATAAAAGAACATTTCTTTTATTTACAATTACCAATCATTTATTAGAAAATACTTGTTGCAAAACAAAGTTTTCATATAGAAAAAAATGCGTTTTCACAAAATTCCCCGGATAATTTTAAGCTTTATATTTTATATGATACGAATTTGGACAGATGAAAATAAATTTAATTATAAAGCCTTTCTTGTTAATTTATTAAGTGATATTACTACTCTGGTTCTGTTCGTAATTGTGTTTTGAAACTGAAAAAAGATTTAGACGTGCAGTTTGCAGAATCAAATATGTATATAAATTTACGCAGAAATATTTAAGCAGTAAAATCTTGCTTGTAAAATCTGCTTTGACCAAATATAGAAAATTTTCTTATTTAATTAGCTTTGTATTTTAGTTCAGACAACATAGAGATTGACCAATTTGAAACGTCCTTTATGGAAAAATTTTGACTCTGTTTTATTATCTTTCTTTATAATATTCTACATTTATTTAATTACATATGTATCTTTACTAAAAATATATATTTTTTGTATCTTTACTAGATACATATTTTTTCTTTTATAAGGAAAACTTGTACGCTAGTTATTTACTAATACGCTTGATTAATACGTACATACGATTATTAATTTTTGCTCACTAATTATTTACTAGCGTGATAGTGGATATTTTTTACTTTTTAAATCAAGACTACTATTTTTTATTTTTTTCAAGATAATATATGACATTTTTAAATAAACATCATTATTGAGTGATTTGTTTTTTTTTTTTATACACGTATACACTATAATTCTCGACAAACATCGTGAATTTTTTTATATTTGTTTATTTACTAAGTGCAATGAATATATGAGAGCCTCATCCTAATATAACAGCTTAATCTGCTCAGCCAACTTATTCGTTTATCTTATGATTTTTCTTTAGGTGATGGAAACGTCAGCTTCGAGGAATTCGTCGAGATCGTCAGCAATATCGGCGGCGCGAGCACGGCGGCGCCCACAGATCAACATCAGGAAGAGCAAGAATTGCGAGACGCCTTTCGGGTGAGTGAAATAAACGATCCCTCGTCGCTGTTTCATTTGAATTTACGAATCGCACAGTTGATAGTTTCTTTGCCCTTTTGGAACGGTCCACGCGATCATCCGATAAATCTCTATCTCCCGTTTCATGTATAAGGCGAAGCGCTCGGGTATCAAACGTAGAGCATATTTTCTCTCGCGATCCAGGCAATTTTCAGCTGGATTACCGCGGCCGTTCTCAGTCAACTTTCTTCTCTGAAGAAAGCAAGAGGATTTGCTCTTGGCGTTCTTAAACGAGCCGATAGAGCCGGTTTCTTTAGATAGACTAACGCGAGACGACAGCCACTTTATAAACTACACCTTGGTGGCTCCTTAGAATACGATGCTGTTCATAAAACGCAAAAGTTTGTAATGATCGCGGCATGTACCATGAATACTTGAGTGTTCTATGCATATTTTATGTATCATATTAATAAGTTTTCTACTGCGCGCACGGGTGTTTTAACAGTTAAGTAGCTGGAGTTAATCCGTTCTGACTGTCGAATGTGTATGCTTTAATCTTTACTTTCCGAGAGTTTAGGATTCAAGCTCTCTCACTTCTGGAATGTCAGAACCGTCGAATTATTCACATAATCTTTCAAATTAGCTGCGGCCTGCTGGTGGGACACGCTGCCTCGCGCATAATAATAAGTTTCTTAAATTCTGAACGTTTTGAGAGATATTCAGCTTCATGATTATTGATTATATCTCGGTTGTTTTGAAGTTATGTATAATTAAAGGATTAAATATTTAGGAAACAAACAAACAACCAATTTATTTTTAAAATGTTTACTGTATAATAATTTTCTTCTTGATACACACACACACACACACACACACAAAACACAATGAATATAAAAACAAAATTTTAGACTTTGATTAATATTTTGAAGATTCATTTAAAAAACAAATAAAAATCTCTAGATCTTTGCTTTCTGAAAAAATATTATGTTTACTACATATTTATATCCTGTAATATTTTACACTTACCTTTTTTTATGATATTAAATAATAATGACAAAAATGGAGAAAATATTATTTAAAGTATTAAGCATTATTTTCTTATTTGTAAAATTTTACAAATTGTTATTAACAAAAGCAAATATTAAACTGTTATATTTCCCGTTTTTTATTTGATTCTTACCGGAACAAAATTCATAACATAACTATTGATAGAGAACAACTTGGCACTATAAATTTTGAAAAATAAACTTATTTGATTTTTTTTAGAAAAGGAAGAAATAATTCTTTATTTGTTACATTTTTATTAAAGCTTTTTTATTATTAATTTTTTTTTTATTTTATATACTTTATATATTTTATACACCGCGGTAACGCTAATATATAATATGAGATTTCACATATAAGTTATATAAATTGTATAACGTAAGATGCCCGGAATCGGCTTGAGAATAATAAATAAGTAATAGCTAAATAAATAAGCAAACAGATCTGATTTATATGAGAAATGTGATTTACGAGAGCCATGAAATAGGAATCAGAAAACCTGAGCTCAATGGTTTCTGCGGTGAGTGCAATCCTCGATCTTTCTATAATAAAATAAATTTTGATTCCGTGCTACTCGTCCCTCATCAAAATTTTCGACACGTTTACTATGAATGTAAAAAATATATATAACTCGACGACATCGATTCCATAATACCCGCAGTACGCACATGTATAAAGTGATTGCTTACTTAAATAAGTAAATATATATGTATAATAAGATGCGAAATCACGTAGAATCAAAACATTTTTGCTTGTTACTTTTATTGCTTGTTGCCTTGCAGTGTAAAATGTGCATATATATGTTTATACACATATATATCTGCGAACTAACAGCTCGATTAATGACTCGAATAAAAATCGTATATATGTTTTAATTGCTTTCGTTGACGTTGTTCGTAAAGAATTTCGCTTATTAGTAGAGAAAAATGTTTGGCAAAGAATTATTTGATTTATTTTGTTTTTTATTTCTGCTATACCTTGGATTATTTATGCTATTTCAACCAGCCCTATCGATATTGAATGACGTACTGTTAGATATCAAAGAAGCAATAGTATGTTTTTTTATTTTTCATTTTGTTATTTTTGCCATGTCTGTAAAATGTAAATCAATCAATTTCTGTGTTTGAAATGTTTAGTTTCAAAGTAAACAATATCCATATTACATATGTACTTAAATAATAAACTAAATTTGATCCAAATTTAATATTTTTTTATTTAAATTGTTTAATTAATTGTTTTAATTAAGCATTATTGAAATCTTTATAAGATGTCTATAAGCATCAAGTTATTAAATTGTAATTTTAATTTGTGATGTTACTACTGTAGTTCAATCAGATTTGCGTTTTAATATTGAAAAATCAATTTGACGCGCAGTTTAAATGACTACATAAGTAGTTTATAAATTCACAGTATTACTTAAACACTTAAGGTCCAGTTTGACTGTTAAAGACTTTCTTTTGCCCTTCTTGTTGAGTTTTAATTATGATATATTGAGTAGTAGCAACTTAAAAAATGAATGATTAAAAATTAACAATAAATTGAATATAATTTGATATTGATAATGAATTTAACAGTGCAATATTGCTATTGACATGTAAATTTTACATCCGAGGAACAAAGTCTTTATATAACACAAGATTTTCATACATTGCACATTTTTAATGACGAAATATTTATAATCTAAACCTTTATAAACACAGATAAAAAAATAACGCTTTCCTTCTAAATTAAAATTGCTTTGTAAATTTAAACAAATTTTAATAATATCACCACTTACTTGTCTACTTTGAGAATTAACCAATTTTTGAGCTTTTAACATAGAGAGTATCAGCAATATTTGTATCGATTGCCACTCATTAATATCGAACTTTTCGCCAAACCGAGATTCCAACGTTCGATCAGACTATTTAATTAAAAAGTAACTTGCATAAAATTATTTTTAAAAGTTTGATGTCTTGTAGCATCTTTGATTTGGTCTGAGAGAGATGAAACTTTTTTTTCAGGATATTGGAAACTAGTTTCATTTATTATTGAATCTTTCTTCCAATAATAGAGAATTTTCTTGAACGTTATTTACACTAATAAAGCCTGTAAATAAAAAATGGCTTTTATGTTGCGTTTAAAAAATGCAAATATGCTTGAGTGAAATTTTATTTAGAGAATATTCTTTGAAGTGAAGTCTTTTGGAAACTGACTATTTAACAATTCCACCCACATAATTACAAGAACTCTTCTCATGTAATGTGATACCAAAAAAATTTCACTCAACTTTAATATTAAAATCTATGTTTTTATACAAAAGAAATCATAACGTAAAGATAAAAACTTTTTAAAAATTTGTAATTCTCTTGAAGCTCATAGATAAATAAGTGATATTATCAAATTAAAAAAAATTTTTTTTTAATTATGCAGCAACTAGATTGAAATGGCATAGAATGACTGACTTTCTTGCGTATTGTTCAATCAAATAATATAAAAGAGATTAATATCTTAGAATAAGAACATTCTTTTTTTTCATCGGGAAGCTATATACGAAATATTCTTAAAAAATTAAACAATTAATAGATGCTCTATTTGCATAAACTAGGTAATATTAGTACGATATATAAAGATGTACATACATATAGTCAGGATCATAAGCTGATTTTATGGACGCGAAATGCTAGAAGATGAAAGGATCACGAAGCGTTTGCGTTTTCTTGTTTGTTGTCAGCAAAGGTATTTTTGTATGAATAATGCATCTTGCCCGTCGTATACGCGTGCCTTTATGTCAAACCGGAGATAAACCAGGATCAGCGCAAAATACTCCGTTTAATGCGACACGGCTTCCTATACAGTTGCTATAGGAATAGGGTTATTATATTTGAATCGCAAAATAAAAGTTACGTATGTACACTTTTTTAAAATAGATAATTATCTGGGGAAGGAAAGAGTGGGTTTAATTTTTGTACGGAAAAAGAACGATTTCGAAGAAATATCTAAAAATTTTGAAGTAGATATAGATTTAAAAATAATTGGATCAAAATAATTATGTAGGATGCTCAAGGTAGTTAGAATATCAAAACTTTTGCAGTATCGCTTATTATCTTATATAAATTTGATCTGTTTTAATACTTTAACAAAATTTTGTTCAGATCTGTATTTAGCTAAATTTTTAAATATTTTTGCAAAATTACTTTTTTCCGTAGAATTTCTGTAGGATTTCTTATATTAATAAGAATTGTCAGTATAAATTATGTTTTAAAAATTTTATTAAATAAAGTTTCTAAAACATAATTTTGATTAAAAATAAATATCCGCCATTTTGGATTTTAAAATTTGATAATCTTAATCTTAGAATTCAACGATCAACAAGCCCCTTATAAAACATCAAGAGATATTCGAATTATTTATTTGGATATACAGTATTGATTTTTCCAAAAATTGTCAATTTTTAATAAAAAAAAACAATATAATGGAAAAATCTGAAAAATACTTTAAAATATCCTGAGTGCTAAATTAGTATTAATTTTAGTATTAATTTTAGTATTGATAATAGTTTAGTAGAAAATATACATTTTTTAAGCACAAATTTTAACTACTTGTTTATAGTTATTATGCATAGATAGTAATTATACAAGTAAAAACATATGTTGCTTATTTTTTTCTAACACTTATTTATGCTCTAAGGACTTAACAAAAACAAAAAAGTGATATTTAAACGTTAAAAAATTCATTAAAATAATTAGAAACTGAGCGGAAAAAGATGGATCTGTGAGAGACCCATCATGACGCAAAAGGTTAAAAGTACGGATGGTAATTTTTCCGCTATGGAAGATCAAGAATATGCTTGCACTCATGCGTGAAATTAATTATCACGAATCAAAACCGTTTCGCGTTTTAAGTACACAAAATCTTGCGATCTCCTTAAGGAAATTTGACAATTTATTCCGATCGTATTTGCAGGATTCGCCCGCGGGAGAAATAGATACCTAAAG